CCGCCAGTCCTCTTTGCCCTCGTCGTCTCGCTGCCTCGTCCCGTCGTCTCTGCCTCGAGGTCCGCCGCCGTCGTCTTCCCCGGATCTGTCCTCCCGCCACCTCCAGGCGCGTCCGCCAGGAACCACCAGCCGAAGAAGAACATCCAGAGAACAAACAGAAGAATAAGAAGAAGAAGAAGAAGAAGAAAAGACTAGATACAGCGTGTTACTGTCTGGTCCGGCCCAGTCCATGATGGCGCACTCGCAGTCACAGTCACAGTCCCAGGCGCAGGAGGCTTCAGCTACATCTACGCCATCCCCAGCGGCCTCTGGCCTGGTGAACAGCAGCACTGCTGCTCACTCCCCTCCCTCAAAGAGAGACCTGGCCAGCTGGTGGAGGCAGTTCAAGCGCAGCACAAAGAAGGACGCAGGTAGGTTTATTTCACTGGCTTCTCTCTGACTTCTACGCTCTGCTCTCTGTTAGTGTCTGTTACTGATCTGTCTAGCGCTAGCCCCCCAAGCCCCCTCTGGCATCTTTGGCATCCCCCTGAATGTGAGCATCAAGTACGCTAATGTAGCCATCTCCCTTACTGGCGATGACGGCAAGAGCTTCATCTACGGCTACGTGCCTATAGTAGTGGCAAAGTGCGGGGTCTTCTTGAAGGAGAAAGGTGAGAGACTGACATCCATTGCTTTTTCTTATTTGATATCATTTCTTGATAATGCTATTGACATGATGGCGATTGATTCTAATTGACTTGCAGCCACCGACGTCGAAGGCATCTTCCGGCTGAGCGGCTCTGCAAAGCGCATCAAGGACCTCCAGGAGATATTCAACTCCCCAGACCGCTTCGGAAAGGGACTCGACTGGACCGGCTACACCGTCCACGACGCCGCCAACATCCTGCGCCGCTACCTCAACCAGCTGCCTGAGCCCATTGTGCCTCTGGAGTTCTACGAGCGCTTCAGGGAGCCACTGAGACATCGTCATGGGCGTCCGGACGGGGAAGAGGCCGCCATCCAGGTCGACCGGGAACGTGGGTTTGACAGGGAGGCTGCAGTCATTGCCTACCAGCAGCTCATCAAGGAGCTCCCGCCGCTCAACAGACAGCTGCTGCTCTACATTCTCGACCTCCTGACCGTCTTTGCCTCCAAGTCCGACCTCAACCGCATGACCGCCGCCAACTTGGCCGCCATCTTCCAGCCCGGAATGCTCTCCCACCCTTCCCACGACATGTCCCCCCAGGACTACAAGCTCAGCCAGGACGTGCTTGTTTTCCTCATCGAAAACCAGGACAACTTCCTGTTCGGCATGACGGGCACCGCAGCCGATGCCCAGACCGTCCAGAACATCCAGGGCGGCATGTACCCTCCTCCTCCCTTGCAGAAGACTACCATCAGACGCTCTGCTTCCAACGCCAGCGGAGGTGCAGACAGCCTCAGAAAGTACGAAGCCCTCCGACGAAACATGTCTGTCTCCTCTAGGAACTCCAATGGCAACGTTACGGGTCCCAGCACTCCCAATTCAAACTCAAGGGCGGTGGACTGCAGCGTAGCACACCGTGCCGTCAAGAGAGCGCTGGCTTCTCGCTTTCAGCACATTCGCTCGACAGCAGGCTGCCA